TGTTCTTATGTATTAACACACACAATCACACGCCATCTACATGCAGTATATAATATAAGGCAAAAGTTGTAAGATGGTTTTGTGTCCAACATGTTGTGGTTTAGCAAGGGCTCTTTCATTATACCTTTCAAATACCTCTTTCATTATGCAAATTCACTCATTAAGAAGACAATAATCTCAAAATAATCTCTAGCACCTCTTGTAGAAATTTTTGCAGTATCATGCAGTTATTGAAATCCTGAAATGGATCCTACCACTTTGCAATGGGAATGTGATCTATTTCCCCCTTCCAGTTGGTTATTGCTATAGTTCTCAGCAGCGTCTTCAGAGGCAGAGAGCTGGATTCTCTTTGGAGGGCTGGCTGAGAGGGCAAGGAAGGAGATGAGGAGGTGAGGAGACAGACTGTTCTCTCAGTTGAATTCATTCCAGGGAGTTATTTGTGGAAAGAAAGTCCCATTAAGGCCTCTCTTTCTCCTGCCCTTCTATCACCTGCCTGCACTACGAAGAGCTGCTTTTGATCGCTTTTGGCTCCTGAGCAACATTTACTCTTGTTTTTTTTTCTCTAAGAAATTGTAAAAGCTGACAGGTTGCAAATCTAGACAGAACAAGTGCAAAAAAGCAGAAAAACACAACAGAAATGAAATATGAGAAGGGTAAAAGGTGAATCTCATTTTACACTTGAAATCATAAAAAAAACATTTGAAGTTGTCCAAAATCACTTGAAATATGTTTGCCCATTGGGTGCAAACTGCTCGTGGATAGGTAGCCAAGTTACATTTATTAGTGCTGTGACCATAGACTATGTATGCTGTACCTCCACGATAGACTATAAATTATTAATATACATACAAATAGAAATTTTAAAATTACACAGGAGTTGCATTTGAGCATCTACAGTAGCTGATGAAACTCAACTTTGAAACTTGCTAACAATGGTTGTGTTTGGCTGATTGTGGGCCATCCCTTAAGTACTGTATACTCGGCTAATACCGCAACGCAGATTTGAACCTTCAATCTCTGGATATAGGGATATAGGGTTCAGCCTTTATCAGCTGAATCTCTCACTGGAAATCATTTGATGATGGAGATAATAGGTCCTCACTCAGGTGACAGTTTGTTTTCTCACTGAAACACTAGTGGTTTGGTTTGATAATTGCACTATTTGTCAAATTGCATCAGATTGCCCTAAAATTTAGAATGTGATTTATTTTCCTATCATGTTATGGGATTGATCCTTTTGGGCATGACTGATGATTTCCAGATTTGGTAGTTTCTTTCATATCTTTTGAGATCTGCTCAAGACATGACAGCATGTTCTCTGCACATCCACTTGTTAAAACAGATAGTGCTGAAGAAATCTTTTATGAAAGTAGTAAAGATTTATGTATTTAGTCTTTATCACCATTTTTTAATAGACCTAACATTTATTACAGTTATGTAAATATACATAATGTCACTAACTGCAACACAAATATTAATTCTGATCTTAATCCTATGATATGTTTTCTACTGCAAAAAAGTAATGCATTTGTTTTCAATATATTTATATATCTTATGTCACTTGGAGCAATAATGAAAAATGATTACAAATGCTTTTATAGAGCTATATACAGTATGGCCTCTGTGAAGGTGTTACACTTGCTAAATAAGACAAACAGATACTGTAAAAAACAATGTTGTTGTGAGCTACATCTCATGTGAACAAAGAAAAATCTTAACGTTAGGTGGAGCAGGGAGACAACCTTGTGTGCAGATAAAATGTGAAATTGTTTTCTGTCCGTACCAGATTATCCCTAAACCTGCAGTAAGCTTGCAAACCTGTGCAAAGCTGGATAAGTTCACAGAACATATTCAAAAGCTTCTATGTTGAAATGGGAAAAACTGATCCCTTACAAAGATGCAGTAACTAATTTGTCTTTTAAAATATCCATTCTCGTTACCATTCAAAATCACCCTGTGAAGTAGCAAACAAGCCTAATGAAACCTTCATGTACTATAGATCCTCTACCATTCATTTTATTCAACCTTGTTTTTTTTGCAGAAACATAAAAAATAATCATCCATGACTTCTATTTATAGATTTTCTTTTTTTTTTACATTTTTGTGCATGAATGAGGCAAAAGAAAAAAAAAACTACAGAAGATGTATTTTGGTGTCTCTGCACCATGAAATAATTCACACTCTTACTGTGTAAAACAACAAATACATATCAGGCTAATTAGATATCCTCGCCAAACGATCATTGGATTTCACTCCCTCCCTAATTTGTCAATGACAGTGATTCAATGGGAAATAAAAAACATACATTGTCTTGTTTTTTGCCAACCTAATTTACTGTCGAATTGATTCATCTTTAGCTGCCATAACTCGTTAAAATGAGAAGCAAGGCAATGGACCCTTGGCAATTTTACAGACAATTAGAATAAAGTTAATTATGCAATAACAAACACTTATGAGAAATGAAATAGCTTATCTTTCGGGGGGATGATTCCCCCATGTTAATTTGGCTCAGGGCAAGAGATGATTTGCTGCTGCAGTAGGCTTTAAAAGGCTTTAAAAGGACAGCCTTGCATTTTTGCCACAGCATGTCTGAAGATCTTACACCACAAAAAAATATAATGACTTACATGCCGGTTTCCATGTTTTGAAATCTTTTGTCACTATTACCTTATATTGTGCTTTGTGGAGCTATTGAAGATGATCTCAGTGAATGTGTCTGTCTTAGGCACTACAATCGCTGTCCTGACAGTTAAACCTTCAGCTGCACTTCTATTGCAGTCTTGGCAAAAACTTCCTGTCTTGTACATTCTCAGGCCATTAGGAATCGTGGCAAATGAAAGAAAAGCAGGCCTGCTACACTTATATGAAAACACAAGACTGTAGGCACTGACCTTGTTTCTCATGACAGTCTATAAATCACTTTGTACAGGCAGTTGTGTGGCTGGACAATAGACCAGTATATTATATGTAGTCTTTTGTCCAGTAACGCAGCTATACAGTACACCAGAGCACTGGTATATCCTCAGGTGATTTAAAAAATACTGGTGCCTATTTTTAGTTTTGAGACCATGACATAACAATAACAAGCCACTTCAAAATGTTTTCATACCCAAAGGTTTATGGGAGTCTGAAACAAGCTCCCCAACTATGCTTTTGAAGCCAATACTCCGGCTTATTTCAAGAAATAGGCAGAGGAGAGCCTCTGATCAATCAGCTACTGCAGGAAAAAGCATGAGTATTGGGGCAGTGAAGTGAAAGTTGCCATTTTTACCGTGTACAATTCAAATCTACATTTCAGGCCAAAAGATAAACACGAGGCAAAATTACAGGGTATTGTTTACACACACATTAAACCATGGTAAAACAAAAATGTTTTTGTCCCCAGACTTGAGATTCTTGGTTACACTTTAACTGCAGCCATTTTCAATTATTGTTTTGGAGGTTTTCTGACTTAAGTTTCTTCTCCAATAAGTAAAATACATGCTCAAAAGGATTCCGATCACGAGATTAACTTTGTCAGTTCAAAAGTTTCCACTTCTTCAATGCACACCTTGGGTCCTGTTGCAGAATGAATTTCTTCCCAATGAGTTTAGAGTAATTTTTTACGTTTTTTTACAACATACAACACTTGATCAATTAGAAACACCTATAAGTCAATACCTTGTACTCACCTGAAATTGGGGGACTGAACACAGCAAATTACTTTGTTCTAACATGGCTAAACAAGCATGCAACGTAATATCTAGAAACCAAAGCTGAATTTCTATACTTGTGCTGCACATCATGCATAATCTTTTGATCTGAAATACACATTTCATTAGTACACAGCAAAATGACAAATTTCATTTTGCTGTCCCATGACTTATGCTTTTGACTGTAATCACTAAATGGGCTAGATGGGCTAAATAGCGTCCTCTCATTTGTAACCTTTCTTAAGTTATTAAAATAATGTCTTACATAACCTTCTTTCAAGGGGGTGGGGAGTGTTGGAGGGGTGGCCATGCATAAAATGAATCTATAGTCAAATTAAAAAGTGCTTCTGAATAGAGCCATTAGGTTAATGGCTGGAAAAAATCTTTTTACTTCTGCAAAACATTATTAACACTGAGTCACCTTTACAAGCCTTCTTGATTTGGGGCATGTTAATTAACCAGGTCTGAGCTCTATATGCCCTTCATAGCCAGCACGTAATACTCCTTTAACACTTCATTAGTGTATATAAACAAATGAGCCTTCTAGGTAATGAGTGTTAGGGATACCCTTCATGTAAGAGAAGATAGCTGAGCATCTTTCAATCAGACTGCACAGCCAGATCCCCTGTTTGCCCGGCCTTTATGTTCAGAAGTTTGCAGTGATTTCTCAAGCTCCTGGGGACCCTATGCTTCTCTGGACACCTCCTTAGTGGGGTCTCTGGGTTGCGTTACAATGTAACACAAGAGCCCCAGTTTATCATGTCCCCTTGTCCTTTTGGGAGAAGAGTCCCATTTGATATCAATAGAAGAAAAAAAAAGAGGAAAGCAGAGGATTGGTACAGTATAATTCAGTTGTTTTGAGCTGTAAGCTCTTAAGTATATATAAAAGCCAACAATAGGACTTAGATATTTCAAGTCTGCTACCTTAATTAAAGTACATTTGTATAGACGGTCATGTGAGGATAAAAATGAATTACTGTAAATACAATCATTTTCAGTTTAATCAGGACAATTTTCAGCTTGTATCTTGTAAAATCAGAAATTGGTGCAACATTGTACTACAAGAGTCCTGTAACACACATGTACGGTATTGTACACAAAGACAGATACACAGACACCCATTGGGAAGGAGTCATACATTCTTACAGAACCAGAAGGAAAGTTACTTTAGCAGCCTACTCAGGTGTCTAGTTCCTAAGATTCATCAGCCCACTCGCATAAAAGCAACAGAGATAAAGATGTTAAAAAAACTTTACCAGTATCACCCTGACGGACGTGAGAGCTCATCAAATATTAAATCATTTTCACCTGTACCTTCTGCGCCCGGCGTTTATCTGCTCTCTGGTTCTGGTGATAAATTCGGCTAAAGTTGGACACAATGACAGGGACAGGCAGGGCTATTACCAAAACCCCACTCAGGGAGCAGATGGAGCCAAAAATCTTTCCTGCGATTGTCTTCGGCACCATATCGCCATAGCTGCAAAGACAGAAGAGTAAAACCTGTTAGTGAAAATGAAAAAAAAAACTATTTACTTTAAATGCATGACCTAGGTCTCCACTGAAACCAGAAGACCAGAATTACTTACAGGAGCTTCCTGTAACCAATGTTAAGCTCCAGTGATATTATTAGTAAATGTCTGAACTGTCGGAGGCAAGGAGATTTGGCTAAAAATACAAGCTTTTTTTAAAAGATGAAACCAGACAGAATTTCTTGCTATGTTCTTAAAATGCAAAAGCTTCCTAAAAATAAAAGATTTGACACTACATTACTCGTCTTGCCAGCTTAAACTGCTCTATTTGCTGTCAGACTGCAGTTCCATCTCCCTCTGTCTAAATGACTTGTTTCCGCCTGTAATGGTGAACCAAGGACCCCTGAAGCTTTGTTAAGCCAGCTAAGATTGCCAGTTAATGGCTGAGGCATCTTTAATCAGGGCTTAGGAATTTAAGTCACTGTGAAGCTGAAAGCAGCACAGACAGGAGCATCTCGTCAGTTTCCCCCTGTTTAAGTACGATGCCTGAATGAATCTGAACAGCAAGAAGGGATTTAGAGGGACTTTGAAAGGCTATGGAGAGCAAGACCTCAGGTTAGGGGAGGCTGTTAAAATTAAATAGTGCAATTCACTTTTCTCATAGATCTAGACAAACATGACAAAATCATCAATGCATATAGAAGTCTGTAGACTGCTGTAATACTGTAACATTGTTTTTTTTGTTAAAGACAGGTACAGCGACTTAGCAGGAATGAGTTTCTTTTCAAAAATGGGTGGGTAGGAATATTATACATTCATTTGAGTGACACCTTTGTCTTTAGAAACAATACTTAACAGACAAAACAATTACATAAAAAATTCACACGAGACTAGATGTAAGATCAGTACATTTTGATTAACCTCATAAGACTGATCAGTGTAGCAGACTGAGATACAGATTTGTTGTGAGCACCCTTGCTGAAGAGAACAACAACCTGCTGTCAGTACTCTCAATATATACTCAAACTGTGCATGTGAGAAATCCCTACGTGGTATCACTACAGATATAAACACAGAAACATAACCTTCTTTAAAACGTACTATAAGAAAGTTTACCAATTAAGAAAGGATTCAAAGACATTTTGATCCATGGAAATTTGATCCAAACATCAACTACTTTGTGAAAGGAAATTCTTTTCAGCCCTAAATTTCTCTGTTTTGATTCAAATTGTTCTGACTGAATATGAGAAATGTAGAATTAATGATTTATATAAAAAAAGACTGAAATTCACTACATTAAAATAATTCATTAACAATCAACATGAAAATGTATTTAAGAATGTTTTTTTGAGAAGTTAGACATACAAATCTGTGAATTAACTTGCTTAGCTGAGGGTCAACCCCCTGGCCAGAGGATAAGGAAGTTAGGGTGCTTAACTTGCAAAATGAGGAATTAACCAGGGAGGCAACTGCACAGGTTAAGGTGGTTTGAAAAAGGATACAGAAAGGCAAGAAAGAGAGAAGACCTTCCTGTGGTCTTCATAGCTTTTTGGGAAGTGATGTAGTGAATAGCAGGGGAGAAAGTTATTTGTTATTATGTCTCCTAGACTTTCATGAAAAACTCTCCCATGATTTTAAAATATTTTTTTAACCCTGCCTAAAAATGAGGTAAAAGAGAGTTCTGCTGTGAGGTTATTAAAAAGGATTGTTACAAGAAGGCAGACACCTAATTAATTAGCTAGCTGTATGCTGTACTTGAGTTCTCTTTTCAGAATTGTATGATTTTCTCTTCTTCTTCATACACAAATGGCTGTGGCCTTCTTGTTTCACCCCCTCTGCTTCTCCCTCGCTCTCCGGTCTGTCTCTGACAGGTAAGCCACGCGCTGCTGCTCTGTCTTGTCCCAGGAGAGAGCCAGTGGGCTTCACTTGCTCAGAAAGAAAAGCCAGTACGTGACTTGTTCTCTGATCCTTCTCGCAGTTTGTCATTTCTTAATGTTCTTTTTATTTTTTAATTGTTTTGTGCATGGTTAGCTCTGGACTAATTGCGCCACCTTGCCACAGCAGAGACTTAGAGTTTGCCCCCTGGATGGATCCAGTTAAGACTAGAGAAGTGTTTAGAAAAGCAGTGGGCTGACGTGTAAAGTCTCTGTGTAGCCAGACCATTTTGAACAGGACATGGCATATATTCTTTAAAATCTATAAATCTACATTTTTTTTCTCTTTTCAGCGTGGAATAAACCTTTACTATTTCCTTTGATGTGTAGGGATTTTTGCTTACACTTTCTTTTCTTTAGATTGTTTTAAAAGACTCCTCTTTCTTCTCTTAAATTTCGCATCATCCATGGGCATTTTATTATTCTTTTCAGATGAGCTTATCTGCATAAAAACTTTCATTCTTAAGAAGTCCATTCTGCAAGAGGGTGGAAATTTCAATAGTGATTACATATTTTTAAACACTCTTGGTGCGACTGTAGGTTCTTCATACAGTGAAAGACCTCCAAAGAAAGCTGAATCTCCAAAGAAAGTGATCTTTGCCCAATCGGAGGTTGGGCACTGTTTTAACTCATTTGGAGGATTGTGACCTGACTCACTTGCTGATGGAAAGAGGCAGAGAAACCCAAGGAGACAACCAAGCCTCTTCTTTTTCTCTCCAGAGTTTAATCATAATTTAAAAAATATCACGTAATGCAAAAGGAGATAACATTAACCTTTGGAAAAAAAAATTGCAAGAAACAGAATGGGGAGCAATTTTAAAAGAATCTAATATAACCATCAAGAACTGTAATATTCAACGGCCACAATGCAATCCTATGCGCATCTGAAAGAAACAGAAAACATAAATGATTAAGTTATTCACGTTAGATTCCTCCTGAGCCTCCTGGAAACCACACTAAACTTTGGTTGCAAAAATTTGCTATCTACAGAAATACTAAAGGAGGCACTGTGCCAAAAAACCGGGACACAAAGAAAGCTTCTGAGAAGATCTGCATGAGCACAAATGTATAATAGTTTTGTTTCTTTGGAGGGGCACTGTGGGAGAGTTGTATACATGTTGCAAGCTTACAGATGTATAGAGACCTGACATAATGCATTAGCCTCTTCCTCTAATTGAATATGTACAATATAGATCTGTCCTCAATGGATGCAGTGCTGGCATTGTAAAATATCATAGAGAAAGTACTAAGGAAAAAAAGCAGGTGAAGGACCCAGAAAGCAAAAGGTTATGGATGAAAAGCACATGAACTCCCTGATGTGGTTCCATGTAAAAAGATCATATGCATAGGAAAAATCTGGTCTTGTGGTTTGGGAGTTTAGCTATTCAGATGACTTTGTGCTGTTAGAAAAAAACAGCAAAGAAGATCTGGAAAAGATTTCGGAGGAGTTGTGATTAACCAGCCTGTAGCTAGCAGTCAAATTCAGTAGCTACTGTAGATAGATGGCTCCAACCAGTGAAATGTATTTTTGTTCTGATGTCAAGGTTGGAAATTAGGGCACGATTACCAATAAATGAGCAGACTCACTACCATATGGAAATCAGAAGATACTAATGTGGAGAAAAAATAGGTCCTATGTGATATTATTCCTTGGGTGAAGTATTGCTCTTAACACTGTGTGGTTTAAAAAGCAGATGAACAGCACTTGACTGCATTTGAACTGTGGGTTTGGTGTTTAATAATTCAGATTAACTAGACAGAATACAGGACAGGTTTAAGCTGTAGCTAGAGTGCAGAAAGAATAGGGAAATTGAACAGCATTGGAAGAGACACTAGGATAGTGGTGTCATCATAACATCATAAGGAGAGCTGCAAAGAATACCTAGGCGTGGACAGAGATGAATTACATGGAAAGAGGTTGTCAAGCAGCATGAGGCGGGTTTCTTGAACTAAATTAGGACTATTGCTATCATTTATTCAGTTCCTCAAGTACAACAATTTTCTCTCAATACTCAAGTTACTGTGGTATAGCTGCTTTAAAGATTTACTGTGGTATATCAAGGTAAAAGCAGAGTAAAGTGAAGTGAAAAATCATTAGAAGGGACAGATAAATATCCTGGTATGTTATCAAGTTCAAGTTTATTGTCATATGTGCCTGGGTACAATGAAATGCTTACCTGCATATTTGTTCGTTGTAAAGTACATGGTATAGCGCGTGTCATCAATGGTAAAGCACACTAAATGAATGGCGTAATTATAGTAAAGTCTCTGGAAAATAGTAGGCAAGCTATCCTACAAAGGAAGTAGTAACTTCCAGCATAAGTATCTGGGACAGACCCTCCATGAATTGCAAGGCAGGACCATCTAAAACTGCTGTGTTTGCATCTGCTCTTTTTTGATCTTGGAATTGCCTCGCATATTTTTTATGCTTGGGACAGTCATTTTAAGTCAAATGGATTCCGTTAATAAATATTGCAGGTGAGAGCTAAAGCCATGACTTCATGAAAGATAAAGGATAATTTTGCCAGCTACAAGGGAATGACAGGGTGAATTGGCTTGTCTTGTTTAAAATCCTTTCATACAATGTCTTATGATCATCTTTTTGTGCTTGGACCATCAAGATAACAACAATGAGCAGGCATGCCAGTATTTATTGTAGTACAAAAAAAACAACAACTAGTCATTTTGATGCCTGAGCCCACAGCTGATATGCCAGCACAAAAATCTGAAACCACATTCTGTATGTCATCCAAAAATAATGGCTTTGTTTTGCCATTTGAATAGAACAGAAGCTCTCACAAAAGGGCTATGATAAAAAAATGACAAATTCTTGCTGACTATTCCCTGGGATTGTGAACTGGATTTTTCATTATAACTGGAAATATAAGATTGTATTATATTTTGTGAAGCAAATATTATCATAAAGCATCTGCCTGGAGTAGAATACAGATTGTACTGAATTCCAAAATAAAACTTGTTTCCTGTGCTCCACGTCTCCTCTGGTATAGCGGGGGTTAAATTGAAGCTGCTGTAATGCATGAATGCCTCCATTCATTACGAGCGCTCCGGAGATC